AAGGCATTTGTCGATCGGAAAGATGTGTTTGCCGTCCTTCCTATGGGATTTGGCAAAAGTTTAATTTATCAGCTGGCTCCGATGGTAACTAAGAAGATGGGACGCAATGAAAACCCTGTGCTCGTTGTGGTTTCTCCTTTGGTCGCACTCATATGGCGCTTTTCCACTGCATAGTACCGTACGGTTCGGTTCGGCACGCTTTGGCGCTTTTCCACTGCATAGTACGGTACGGTTCGGTTCGGCTCACTTGTGGTGCTTTTCCACTGCATGGTACGGTACGGTACGGCTCGCTTCGGCTCGCTTTAAATGGTACCTGGTCTGTTGAGGTTCCAAGCGTACCGTACCGGTACTAAAATGTGACGTAAAAACACTGCAGATCACTGATTGGTCAGACAGAATCGTCACTACCAGCATCATTGGACACTAAACCCGCTAGATTTAAATAACCAGTGGACAACAGCCAACCCGGTAGCATCTGTTTTTTAAACTTTAAAAAGAAATGGCTGAATCGTGGTCAGTGGACGAGGTGCAGACGTTCCTCTCGTTGGTTGCCGAGGAGCGGATCCAGCGAGAGCTATCACCAGACCTACAAACAGTGTAGGGACAAAATAACGATCAGTCCCACCCACTTTGAAGGGGTACTAACTGCGGTGGAAAAGCAACCGAGCTAAAGCGAACCGAACCGTGCCGTACCGAGTCGAGTCGTACCACGCAGTGGAAAAGCGAAGCGAGCCGAACCGTACCGAGCCGAACCAGCAGTGGAAAAGCGCCATTAGAGGGCAAAGTAAAAGAAGCAACACTCGTTATTTTACTTCTTCCAGCGTGCGTGCATTTGAGTTCTGTAGTTGACAACTGTGCTATGCAAAGTAGTTGACTTACGTTGCTCTGATTGGTTGTAGGTCTATCCAATAGGGTGCAGAGGTTTTTTTTTTCCTGGTTCGGATAAGACACGCCTCATAATCAAAACCCTATGAAGCAATAACAAACTCACATTCTGACTAGAATATGAGTATGACGAAGTCAGGCTAAAAGGCACTTCTGATGCCAAAACAACATAACACGATGGTAATTAACTACAATGTAACAATAGTCAACACATCTGTCATTAACCACTTTAGGGGGTGCACCGTTCCCGGAAGTACTGCAATACCGGGTCGATGCGTGGAGTGGACGGAGCAAGCCCCTATTCCATCTCCCTGATCCAAAAATCAATTTAATATATGGTGCCCGGGTAGGGCACGTATCAGATATTAAACTGATAAGAACAGATACTACACTTGATCTTAGCCAAAAGGCCGAGAAGCGATACCCACAATTGGTCAGCAGTAGCAACTGCACTCTTTGAAACAGCAAATCTGATGATGGTAAGCTTTCAGTTTTTTTTTTTTAACTCAAAGTTCTTGCATAAAAAGTAATTGTTAACATTACTCAGATAAGGCTTAAAGGGTCATAAACCCCCCTTTACTTTTTTACCGGTCGTTCACACCTCATATTTGAAAAAGGCTGAAGAAATGTGTGTGTGTGTGTGTTAGGGGTTAGAGGGGACTAATTTTGTGAATTGGGCTTCCTGATTGGCTGGGAGTCTACGGTCAACGTGACTGTAGACCAATCACAGAACAGAGACGTTGCAAACAGCCCGCCCCTTTTCAGCGCTCGCTCGTGGTCTTTTTCACAGCATCTTGATCTTACTGGCTTATGAATAACCAGCTCGTTTTAAAATATTCCCGGTCTACTGGCATTTGTTATGAGATCCGCTTTAACCATTACAATGCTCATGATAACTTTCGTTAACTCTATATAATAAGTAAATCCTCATCGACAGCGATACCATGGAAATACACAGAGCTTCCGGTTGCGTGTGGCGCATTTGACAAATCGTTAGCGAGGGCAAACATCAACATGTTGCTTCTACAATAATGTGTAGCGAACCGGGACTCTTTAACCTTGGCCTTCTCACCCCCTTCCCTCGTCGGGGAAGAAGTATAAATCAGCCTAGCTTACCGTGTCCTCTTCTATAATAACCTTACTGCATGTTACACTCGACAAGATATGCCAGCAAACATCAGAGTGAGAGTTGTAGTGCTAGCCATAATTTTACAAGAAATACAATTCAAATCATCATTATCACAAAGAATTGCATCATCACATAATCGATGCGTCGTTTCAGCGGAAAATGGAGACAACTGGCAAAAAAACTAAAACTAAATGTATTGTAATCCGACGCATCATGACAGCAATAAGACCAAAACACATTAGTGACAGACACTTCCACACATGTAGATAATAAATCATATCATTAGACTGGCACAGCAGCCAATTACGTGCATGTAACAGACCGTATTATGATTTGGGGAAGAAAATTAACTTGTGCAGAATTGCAGCAAATGTGCATTGTTGCTAAGTTAATAAATGGAGACTGACCAGTAATTCTGCTAAATAACCGATTTCTCCTCAACTAAAGCTGGACATATAAAACAGTGGCAGCCAGAATAAAATCAGTCACGTAACCTATTAGATTTTAAAATAACTTACCCAAACAGCAAGCAATTCCAGCAGTAAAGCTTTAGCTTCTGGGCTGATGCTGTGATCCAGTGGTGTCGCTTATAACGGCTGTGGTGGAAATGCTTTAAAAAGCTTTGGCTTTCAGCACAAAATTAAGCTCTCGAGTAACTTAGGTCTTCCTTTAACTTTTAAAGAAAAGATTAAGTAAATAGGCGATCTTGAAAACGGCGTAGATGATACAAAATCAAAGATGTCCTCCTCAATAATGTTGCTTGCAGTTTTCGTAGCGAATAACGTTATCTATTTTATCAGCGTTTTCCCATCGAGTTCCTCACAGTCACAGCGGCGCCGGCGGATCTTGTCATAAACTTAGTGATATTAAGCCCCACCCACTTAGAGGGGCGATATGATTGGTCGATATTCCTGTCATTTGAAATTAGTCTCTCGTTGCCACGCTGGACCACCAATCACAGCGCTGAACCACCACTCACAGCGCTGGACCACCAATCACAGCGATGAACGCGGAAAAATCCTAATATGGAGAAAACGGACCTTTAGTACACGACACAAACTGAACAGGCAGATTTGAAGGGTTTATTTCCTCAAAGGAAAAAGATTTAGACGTTTATTGTCAAATTATAAATAAAAAAAATAACAGTAGAATTGTCTACTTTTTTTAATAAACATTATTTAAAAGGTTATATATATATATATATATATATATTTATTTATTTATTTATTTTTTAAAATAATTTTTCTATCTGAGGCCCCCTGACAGTTTCCTTCGGACAACAATATTTAACCTAGTTTTAGTTTTAGTTTTCAAAAACTAAATATTTACGTAAGCTTCCGACAAGGAGTAACAGTTGGAATAAAATAGCAGATTGACTTAGCTGATTCAGTAAGCTCGTTTTATCCGACAGACTTCAATCTGATTCTGCTGACATTTACACTCGCTTACATTTTAAAAGACAGAATATTATATGTATGAAATATTTTGTTGGCGGCTCATCAACACAAACTGCATTAACTTATAGACAGGTATTTCAATTTCAGTGTACCTTGAGATGGTCACACCTGTAATCCACCGTCAGCCGGCCATATTATTGTTACTGACCTTTCTTCTGCCCCCTGAGCAACTGCTATATTTATTAATGCCTATGGTTGTGTTTTCTGTATGTTTTTCTTTTCATCTTTGAAAATTTCTATCCAAATATTTTACAATAAATGTATGTAATTGCAGTGGGTTTGATTGCAGAACTTTCTAAACAACCTAGGAAGAACATACACAATCACGGGATTTGAGTACACGTTTCAGGAGATGTGGGATCTCTACAGCCAGTATTGTGCGCAGAAGGACCGGCCAGATGATTTCAGCAGAAGTCAGAGGGATTTGATCCAGAAGGCGTAGAGCTCTGTCTGCATAATACACCTGAAACCCAAATGACCAGTGTGCAGAAGAAAAGGCTTAAAGGGCCCCTATTATGCTATTTTAAAGTTGCCTAATGTTGTTGTGGAGTCTCCTACAACATGCATCAAAGGTAAAAAAAAAAAACTGTTTAATTTCCTCATAATATACATTTGCACATCATCACATTTTCAATGATTCTCAAACGACTCGTCAAATGAATCAATCCCTCTAAATCCCTCCTTTCCGCGAGCTACTCTGCTCTGATTGGCCAGACAGCTCAGTCTGTTGTGATTGGTCTAGTAGTCTATGGGCTTCTCCCTTGACTTTATGCCTCCACGTCCCCCCGATTGCGCGTGAGCTTCTACTTCTGTCTATACGGTAATGTACTCTTCTGTGCGACAGAGAGTCGCGTGTTATGACGCAATCGTTAGCCTATTTTTACAAAAACTGCTTCTACGGGGCCACAACGTAAGATACAAGGTAATGGAGCATTTTATACATTGTCGTGTTTCCTTAGAAATAAACAATGGACAAATGGAGTCTTTAAACGTCTCAGATGTAAAGTTATTCGCTGTCAAAGTGACGCAAAAATGAATGGGAGTCAATGGAATGCTAACAGCAGGTGATGGCTTGTTAGCCAATGGCGGCGCCCCGGGGAGACTTCAGTTTCCGGCTGGTGGATTACCCCCTTGGGCTGAACGTCTGATGCATATGACACACTTTTCTGGAAACACTTCAGGAGTTTCGAAGTCTCGATCTGATTGGTTGAATTCTACAGGATGTCCGTGAGACGTGTGTGTCGCGTTTTTCATCGATCCACCTGGAAACAAATGCTGTGACGCCAAAACCCCTCGTGGAAGAAGAAAGCCTTTGTTTACAACTGTGACAATGAGCGCTTACCAGGATCAACTAAACGCTGGATTGTGAAGTTCACGGCTCCATTGTTGCAGTAAACTTGCACAACGTTCTTGAATGAATAATTTATTAGATGCACGCCAGTCTGTTATGGTAGGGACATCGACATTATATTGGCACGCCCCTAAACATGATGTGGAACAAAACGAACTGTGTTTGGTTGCGTTACATGTCAGTCAAACGTCCTCTTGGGCGGTCCATGGCCAAGAAAAGCTGCGATAGAGTCCAGACTTTCTGCCGTCAGTCTGAAGGTCTGGCTACACGAGACTACTTCGACTGCCACCTGGGGCTCTGCAGCTTCTTCGACCGCCACCTGGGGCTCTGCAGCTTCTTCGACCGGGGGCTCTGCAGCTTCTTCGACCGCCACCGGGGGCTCTGCAGCTTCTTCGACCGCCACAGGGGGCTCTGCAGCTTCTTCGACCGCCACAGGGGGCTCTGCAGCTTCTTTGACCGCCACCGGGGGCTCTGCAGCTTCTTTGACCGTGGGGTCTGCAGCTTCTTCGACCGCCACAGGGGGCTCTGCAGCTTCTTTGACCTCCACAGGGGGCTCTGCAGCTTCTTCGACCGCCACCGGGGGCTCTGCAGCTTCTTTGACCGTGGGGTCTGCAGCTTCTTTGACCGCCACCGGGGGCTCTGCAGCTTCTTTGACCGTGGGGTCTGCAGCTTCTTCGACCGCCACAGGGGGCTCTGCAGCTTCTTTGACCGTGGGGTCTGCAGCTTCTTTGACCTCCACAGGGGGCTCTGCAGCTTCTTCGACCGCCACCGGGGGCTCTGCAGCTTCTTTGACCGTGGGGTCTGCAGCTTCTTCGACCGCCACCGGGGGCTCTGCAGCTTCTTTGACCGTGGGGTCTGCAGCTTCTTCGACCGCCACAGGGGGCTCTGCAGCTTCTTCGACCTCCACAGGGGGCTCTGCAGCTTCTTCGACCGCCACAGGGGGCTCTGCAGCTTCTTCGACCGCCACCGGGGGCTCTGCAGCTTCTTTGACCGTGGGCTCTGCAGCTTCTTCGACCGCCACAGGGGGCTCTGCAGCTTCTTTGACCTCCACAGGGGGCTCTGCAGCTTCTTCGACCGCCACCGGGGGCTCTGCAGCTTCTTTGACCGTGGGCTCTGCAGCTTCTTCGACCGCCACAGGGGGCTCTGCAGCTTCTTTGACCTCCACAGGGGGCTCTGCAGCTTCTTCGACCGCCACCGGGGGCTCTGCAGCTTCTTTGACCGTGGGGTCTGCAGCTTCTTCGACCGCCACAGGGGGCTCTGCAGCTTCTTCGACCTCCACAGGGGGCTCTGCAGCTTCTTCGACCGCCACAGGGGGCTCTGCAGCTTCTTCGACCGCCACAGGGGGCTCTGCAGCTTCTTCGACCGCCACAGGGGGCTCTGCAGCTTCTTCGACCGCCACAGGGGGCTCTGCAGCTTCTTCGACCTCCACAGGGGGCTCTGCAGCTTCTTCGACCGCCACAGGGGGCTCTGCAGCTTCTTCGACCGCCACAGGGGGCTCTGCAGCTTCTTTGACCGTGGGGTCTGCAGCTTCTTCGACCGCCACAGGGGGCTCTGCAGCTTCTTCGACCTCCACAGGGGGCTCTGCAGCTTCTTTGACCGCCACAGGGGGCTCTGCAGCTTCTTCGACCGCCACAGGGGGCTCTGCAGCTTCTTAGACCGCCACAGGGGGCTCTGCAGCTTCTTCGACCGCCACAGGGGGCTCTGCAGCTTCTTCGACCGCCACAGGGGGCTCTGCAGCTTCTTCGACCTCCACAGGGGGCTCTGCAGCTTCTTCGACCGCCACAGGGGGCTCTGCAGCTTCTTCGACCGCCACAGGGGGCTCTGCAGCTTCTTCGACCGCCACCGGGGGCTCTGCAGCTTCTTTGACCGTGGGCTCTGCAGCTTCTTCGACCGCCACAGGGGGCTCTGCAGCTTCTTTGACCTCCACAGGGGGCTCTGCAGCTTCTTCGACCGCCACAGGGGGCTCTGCAGCTTCTTTGACCTCCACAGGGGGCTCTGCAGCTTCTTTGACCTCCACAGGGGGCTCTGCAGCTTCTTTGACCTCCACAGGGGGCTCTGCAGCTTCTTTGACCTCCACAGGGGGCTCTGCAGCTTCTTCGACCGCCACAGGGGGCTCTGCAGCTTCTTTGACCTCCACAGGGGGCTCTGCAGCTTCTTTGACCGTGGGCTCTGCAGCTTCTTCGACCGCCACAGGGGGCTCTGCAGCTTCTTTGACCTCCACAGGGGGCTCTGCAGCTTCTTTGACCTCCACAGGGGGCTCTGCAGCTTCTTTGACCTCCACAGGGGGCTCTGCAGCTTCTTCGACCGCCACAGGGGGCTCTGCAGCTTCTTTGACCTCCACAGGGGGCTCTGCAGCTTCTTTAACCTCCACAGGGGGCTCTGCAGCTTCTTTGACCTCCACAGGGGGCTCTGCAGCTTCTTCGACCGCCACAGGGGGCTCTGCAGCTTCTTCGACCGCCACCGGGGGCACTGCATGTATAGCCCTTTAATATGTATATTACGCAGTTGTGCACGTACAGCGCGCTGACGGCAGTTCCGCCAGAGCGGTTTCTGTTTACTTTCAGTTTAGTTTCTGCCGCCATCTTATACGAGTGGTAAATGTGTGTGCATGAATGTAAGTTAACTTATCCTTATATTTAGCTGTTATATTGTGATATATCAACACTTTCATGTCGCAGCTGTATATCCGATTGTTGTTACTCTGTTCATATCTTGATTAATGTGTTTGGAGGTGAGTGATGCACAGTGTAATTCACATGCATAGGCCTATGTTTAACGCCATTTAACACGCTGTGGACAATATTAACATGTATAGATGATGTATACTGAGGTGAATCATTATGTTTACTGTATTGAGACAGATCTGGTATATTTATTGTTTATTTCAGACTAAACCACATTTTACCACCTCTGTTATGGCTAATGTTTGTATAATGCTGGACTTGTAAATTGACACATCCTGAAGAGATAAACAGTTAAACGATCTTCTGTCTCCTGTCACAATCATGGTCACAATTCTTGCCGGAGTTCCGTAGTGGACTAGACTTCCACCTAACTTCAGAAAATAGAGTCCTTTACACAATGTATTAGGGTAACAGTGACAAACATAAGATCAAGTGCTTTTTTATCAAAGAAAGTTTTTCACATCTGAAGAAAGTTTTCCCTTTACAATCACATAACATTTAAAGACATTAAAAAAACTATGTATACCGTTCAAATACAAAGGCTTGGCATGCATTCATTTTAAGATGTTACAGAAGAAATATAAAAAACAAGTTAGGGAGTATTCCTTCACATACATCATTTAAAACGTTAAAGACAAAAAAGTAAATGTTTAATCATTTAAAACGTTTTCAGAAAAAAATGTAAAACAAATTAGAGAATGTCTTTCACAAACGATTTGTAAAAGATTCCAGAAAAAGGGTAAAATATGTTTCTAAAACAAGGTTTGCAAACATACACGAGCATTAAAACATCTCAAACAACAGCGGTGTGCTATGGGATGTGCTATTTTTATAAGTTTTAAGTTTTATAAGTGGTGTGCTATTTTTATACGTTTTTTTCACATAGCCTACATTTGAAGAAAGTTTTTCCTTCACAATCACAGCCTACATTTAAAGACATTAAGAAACGATGTATACCGTTAAAACACAAAGGCATAGCATTAATACATTTTAAGACGTTACAGAAGAAGAGTGAAATAAGTTAAAGGGGTCATATAATGCCATTTTCATACCAGTTAATTTGATTCTTTAGGGTCTAAATGAAAAGTTTGTAATATACTTTAATTAAAAATTCTCATTAGTATTCTAAGAAAACACTCATTTTACCTGGTCAAAAACAGCTCTGTTTTCAGCACGCCGTTTCAGTGCATATGCCTTTAAATGATAATGAGCTTATCTCACCTCGCCCCTCTGTTCTGCGGGCGTTTTGGTTTTGACACAACGCACGTGGAGTGTTGCCTTGACAACAGTTGAGGGTATATTTTGGAGAAAGAATGGCAGCGGGAGTCTCTGAGGACACATCTGTGCAACCGTATCAGTTTGAACCGGAGTCGCACCCGGAGCAAGATGACGGCCACAAAGAAGTTCGACAATTAAGGCTCGAACAGGACGTTTCTGAATGGTTGGTTAAAGTAATGTCACTTTGATCTATCTTTGTGTACTGGCAGGGTAGAGTAACGTTAACTTAGTGAGTTGTACGAACGCTATGTGTTTACTGATGTATACGTACTCAGTTTGTAATAACACAATAACCATAACGCGTTGTTCATTATAAACGTGGGATTATGAATTATATTGAGAACGTCGTACATAGAAAACATGCCGTAATGTAAACCTTAGCCGCATTCATCGTGAAGCGTGCAAGCGATTTGCAAAGATTAATATAAAGGTTAATAAAATTTTACACTCACTTCTTCTGGAGGTTCAGCAGGGACATGAATAGTTGGTACCGATTCTTTTTTTCAGGAGCAGCTTCTTAGCAAAACCAGCTTTATACTGAGTCTGACCTTTGTTTATAAAGCAGTCTGGTGAGAAATGATTCGCATAAACATGAGAGCATTGACGTTGCTCGTGGGGAATATCCCTTCGAAAACAAAACTCAGCCACTGCGTCTTCAGCGGTTCGGATTTAGGAACATCAAAATGACTGCTGTGTTCGTTATTACACCCAAGAACAAACACCACAATCGCTTAGACGCCATTCTGCTCCAGCGTATCAACAATGACGGACTATGATGACAGCTCGCTCAGGGCGGGTCTGTGTTGAAACGCTGCTGTCAATCAACACTCATGGGTGGGGCGTCCGACCGTGTGACGTCACACGGTCGAACGGCTTGATTTGAGGCAGGGAAAAACATATAAGGAGATTAAAATTGAAGTGTTGGTCAAAATCCCTTGCCTCTTCAAATACATCTATAATCATATATCCTTTTGAATGGTTATATACTTCCTTTATAAAAATCAATAATCAAATATATTCATTATCACATAATAATTTTTATATTCTTTGTGCTTGTGAAATTATATTTTCTTAAATGCATGTGATGTAAGTAACCAGTTTCTTTTAGGTGCATTCCAATCTTACTTTGAGATTGCACGTAGTACACGCAGGACACGAAGGCCAAGTAACCCACAAGGCCGTTTGTCTCTTTAGGGTCCTAAAGGCAGCGTGGACACATATTTTCCTTCGCTGGACAGATGGTCAAGCTATATTGAGCGTTACTATCAAACTTTAATTGTTGTATTAAAATGTATTCTTTCCAGTATATTTCCTTCCTTGGGAGTAAATGCCAGTGATCTGTTTTTCTCCCAAATGAGTGAATGTTTTAGCATTATGTTTTGGTATACTTAACTGATAATAAGGAGCTCAGACTCTCTTCAGCCTTGATGGGAGCTGTTATTTGCTAGTGTCTGTTATTTGTGTGTGTGTGCGTATGACATTCTATGTAGGTTCTGAACGTTCGGACCAGACACCCCGGCGCCCTTCTCTAACCTGCGAGGCCACCACAGACCTAAATCTAATGAGTGGACGACAACTATCTTTACTAATGGCGATAGGCACCCCTATCTCCTCACATGTGCTAAATTGTTTAGGCTCTTAATGTTTCTTAGCCAATGAGAATCATTCAACCTATAAGCAATGACGTAGCTTAGACCTTGGAAAGGGTATAACTGCTGTGATCTTTGTAACTGTAAGGGAGGCGGCCTACGAACTCCTGTGTGAGTCTTGAAGCTGACTTCTGCTGATGAAACTGCAAACTATCTTCAGTAAAACTTTTCTTTAATTTTTTATAATTCTGACTCCGGGTCTTCATTCTTCATATCTGGTTCTGGGTCTTTGACTGTATACCCCTTAAAAAATAAAAACACTGGATAGATTTTTATCATTATATGATGGTTATGTACAGGCACTGCCAACACACATTTCAGTACAATCAACTTGAAAAAGTGCATGTACCATTATATGACCCCTTTAAAGAGAGTTGTTCCTTCACATACAGCATTTAAAACCGTTAAAACAAAAAGTCAATGTTCAATAATTTAAAACGTTTTCAGAAAAAAAGTTAAACAAGTTAGAGAATGTCTGTCACGTTCGACTTTTAAAGATACCAGAAAAAGGGTCAAATTAGTCCGTGTATCAGTCATTTTTTTTTATTTAATATTGAAAGTAGAAAAATGAATAAACAGCTTGAATATTCGATTTCTACACGTGGGCGGGAATGAAACGCACCTTTCCTCTGATTTGTCAGCCGAAGATCAAACTGTTCCGTCATCAGTTCTTCCTCAGTTCCGCACAGCAGAATAAAAGTCATCCACTTCTGCAGTACGGATTCTTAACTGGTTTATTGCAACTACATTTCATCTCTTTCTCATCAAACAACCAGACTAACGAATGGCTCGACACAACCCGTACTGGGGAAGAGACTCGACAGGCTTGTCTGGCCTTAAAGGAACACTCCGACTTTTTGGGACTTTAGTCTATTCACCTTTTTTTTTATCTCCGTGGGTGCTGTAAATCTGTTTGACGCACCCACCGCTAGCCTAGCTTAGCACAAAGACTGGATGTAAATGGTTGCAGCTAGCCTAGCATACTAATCCAAATAAGTGACAAAATAACGCAAACATTTTCCTATTTACATGTTGTGATTTGTATAGTCACAGAGTGTACAAAAAACAAAGTCACATGAGACACAGACATATTTTAACCGTATAAATACTGGGAACTATATTCTCTGAAGGCGAGCACTGCTACTTGGGCGGAGTGATAACCGCAGCACCTGACACGCACCGTGGTGAGGAGCAGAGAGTTCGTTTAGAGTTTGGGTAACAGAGTCAGCAATTTATAAATAGTAAAAGCGTAGTTTACAATCATGGGTTTTCGCTGTATTGTAAAGAGCTGCGACAATAAACAGGGGAGACCAGGTAATACCATGATGTTTCACAGAATTCCAACTAAAAACGCTGACCGGATGAAGAAATGGTTACTTGCTCTGGATATTGATCCAAAACACACCTAAAGAGATTATCAAGGGACATTATGTTTGCTCGGTACATTTCACTGAGGACGACTATTTTGAAAAAATGGAATTTGCCACAAGGACCATGAAACGTGTGCTGAAGGATACGGCCATCCCATCGATATCACATACAGGACAAAGTGGAGCGGCTGCGGTAAGTGTTCCGCTATATTTTTAGATGTTTAGCCTAACGTTACTGTAACAGTGCCATTAGCTAACTTAGATCTAATGTGAAGCGCTTTGATACAATCTGTATTGTAAAAAGCGCTATATAAATAAAGGTGACTTGACTTGACTTAATGTGACGTTAGTGACACTATTATATGAATAGGGTGGTAACTACTATTGCGGTTGTTTACGGGCTCCATGTATCCCCTGTAATGGACAACTTTGTGGGTTTGAAATATATGGGGGCACAAAATGGGCAGTGAAAATCACTGCAGCATTTATGATATATCTACAAAAAGTCCAAGGTTAAAGGCTAACGTTAGCTATCAAAATATTTTCGGGGGTATAAGAGGGCGAAAAAACATACATTAACGGCTCAAATCTTGTTACAAACTATCTTTACAAATATTAAATGGACTATTCATATGTTGTATCGATGAGCTAAATTAGTTTTATTAAAAAATAAATCAAACGAGTAGGCTACGATGCGCTAAATAAAATTGAAGATAGCCTACTCACGTTTTGGCTTAATTCTTCACATGTTCTTCACATGTTTATCCGATACAATTTGATAGGAGGCGCTGTCTCGAAAAACGAGGGGTCTGAGAATGCGGGACTCTGGGTGCAGGGGGACTGTAGATGCAGGTCTCCGAGTCTGCAGCTTCATACTACTCTTTCTTCCAGTTGATCTTGTCACAACGGGGGGAAATAAATCGACAACCGCCGGGTGTATCAGGGCAGAGAAATCCTCCGTGATAGTGATGCAAAGATCTTCATTGTCATCAAGCCTTGCCATTGATGGCAATACCCGGTCCCATTCACTACAACATATGCACTCGCTTTCTAAGGGCATAGGTTGGCATGTTCCACATTTACACCACCAGTTCGTGTTCGTTCTGATTCTCCCCTCGACCTCCTCAGTCTGTTCGGCATCTTGTCTATCAGCTACCAAAGTTTGTAACTCCTCGTCAGTGTATTCTGGCTCAAAAAGATATGGTTCTGGATCTTGGTTTGATACCAAGTAAAAATCATCTGAAATTTCCTCAAAATCAGCCATGATCACCATTCACGTCCGCTACTAGCTAGTTAGTCACGTTGGTTTTGTTGACAGAAGAAACAACGGTACGTCTCAGGTGCTGCGGTTATCACTCCGCCCAAGTAGCAGTGCTTCGCCTTCAGAGAATATAGTTCCCAGTATTTATACGGTTAAAATATATCTGTGTCTCATATGACTTTGTTTTTTGTACACTGTGACTATACAAATCACAACATGTAAATAGGAAAATGTTTGCGTTATTTTGTCACTTATTTGGATTAGTATGCTAGCTGCCATTTACATCCAGTCTTTGTGCTAAGCTAGGCTAGCGGTGGGTGCATCAAACAGACTTATAGCACGCACGGAGATGAAAAAGGTATGTATGGACTTATCTAACTCTGGGGGATAAGGTGAATAGGCTAAAGTCCCAAAAAGTCGGAGTGTTCCTTTAAAAATTCATAATACAGAATTTTTTTGTCGCTTCCGCGCATCCATGTGAACCGGAATCATTTTGACAACGTTTTATCTGTACAGAGGTGAAGGGAATGAGAAGGGGCCCTTCACAGGGGAGAGACTAGTTGACACTTCAGGACTGCGTTGTCGTCGTGTCCAGGCGCGCGTTGTCGTCGTGTCCAGGCGCAGGTCCTTCATCAGATCTGGATACGGCCAGGATCCGGCAGACTGCGGTAAACCTCGGGATGAACAGAGAGACTAATATTAGCGTAGACGCCATTCTTCTTATGATGTAACGAGTACATCAGGATTTATGGGAAGTGTTCCCGGTTCCAGCTGACCTAATCTATGCAGCCTGGACACGACCATCTTCCGGAACTTCCGGTGGGCATGCACGTGCGCTCTCATGTCGCTCTAACGCTCTAAGGGTGTGAAAATAATTCCTTCTAAAAATGCCCTAAACTACCTCGTGAAAATTGCTGGGGAATAATTTGTAAGAAGCCCATCCAATGAACCTGCGCTCTGGCACAACTACACAGAAGTTTGTCCGCAAAACAAAGACAAAGAAAGGACACGTGGCAAACGAATGCACAATGGCAGGTAGCGACATGGAGAAAAATCTTAAATCAATGCTCACTGAGTTCAAAAATGACATTTCCAAACAAATCGGAGGGCTCCGCGCAGACGTGGGCAAAATGACGACCGAAATGATTCAAATGAGAGAAGAATTGAAAGGTGTACGCTCCGATCTGCGCGAGGCCCAGGATAATGTTAAAGAAGCTGAGCAAAGAATAAATAGTCTGGAAGAACGGGAAGACGCTACCACAGTGCTGTTGAAAAGGCTGGTGAAAGAACAAAAGGAAATGTCTGAAAAAATAGAATATTTGGAAAATAAATCAAGACAAAATAATATCCGCATATATGGAATCCAAGAAGGCCTAGAAGCAAATGATATAATTGGCTTTGTTACAACGCTACTCACAGAAAAGCTGGATACTCCACCTGACATGATCCAGATTGTCGCAGCGCACCGTTCACTGGCACAGAGACCTGCTCGGGATGCAGCGCCCAGGTCTATGGTGGTTCGTTTCATGCAATGGAACACAAGGCAACGGGTTTTACAAGCGGCTTGGTCAAAAAAGGAGATACGGATTGGGGAAACCCGTATCTACTTCTCTCAAGACTTTCCAAGTAAGATACAAAAAGAACGAAGCCGATACTTTCAGCTGAGGAAAGTTTTGAAAGAGAAAAACGTTAAATCCCATATAACATATCCGTCAAAACTGAGAGTCTTTATTGACGGAAATGCAGTGACCTACAGTACACTCGAAGAAGCAGATTCGGATCTACGGAGTAAGGGTATACTGCAAAGTGGAGATGAGACTGAGCCCCAGTCGCGCCGAGCCACCGTGCGCGGAACATACACCGACCCGGATCGTGGGAGCGCACGAGGAGCAGAAGCGGAGACAGTGTAAAACTCTTCAGGTATGGAGATACAAAAAACTTAAAAACTGAAGAAGATGTTTACTCGTGGAGAGGACTCTAAATCGGTCTTCGCTTTTGAACAAAATTATGTCCCCCCCCCCCCCCCCCCAATGCTAATTAAGAATTTAAAATGTAATTATTTTTTTTATTTTTTTTTATTTTTTTTATTATTATTATTATTTTTTTTTTTTTTATTATTATGTATTATTTTCATGTTTTGGGTTCTATTATGGTAATTAGATAAGGAGATAAGTCTATTAAGAACTAAGTTAGAATATTGATAAGATAATAGATTGGGGGGAGGGGGGAGAAAGGAGGGCAGATATTAGAAGGAATAAAAAAATTTGCAGCCCACCACCTTTAGTGAGACTGTATAGGTCTCACCGCTCTGCCATGATTCAGTGGCTGAACAGATGTTTTTTTCTTCCACAAATTAACAACAATGTGGAATTTTTTGTGTGACCCTGTGAGGTTACAGACTTTGGAAGTTCACGGGGGTGTTTACAGGCACTTTTACAATGTTTAGTTTTTTATATTTATGTTTTCTTTAAATATCTTAATAAGACAGCAAAGTTTCATCTTGTGAAAGAAAAAAATGGGAGCACTTAAGATAGTCACAGTTAATGTAAATGGTATTAATAATCCAATAAAAAGAAGGAATATAATGCAGAGATTTAAAAAATTAGGGGACATTATTTTTTTACAGGAAACACACCTGAGTCAAGGGGAACATGAGAAACTGGGGAAATTAGCTGGAACACAAATTTATTCATCTTCATATACAACAGCTAAAAGAGGAGTAGCGGTGCTCCTTAATAATAATTTAAGATTTACTAAGGATAAATGCATCAGGGAAAAACAAGGGAGATTTGTCTTTCTACGTGGAGAAATAGACGGTCAACCAGTAACATTGTTTAACGTATATAACCCACCAGGGGAGGGAGTTGCCTTCATGAAGAGAATCCTCCATCTGTTAATGTCTGAGGCTAAAGGATTAACTATAATGGGAGGGGACTTTAATTTAGTGATGAACCAAAAGATAGACACTACAGGTAGAATAAAACATAAATCAGAATCAACAGCTAAATTATTAAGGGAAGCAAAGTTAGAATTGGGACTGTTGGATGTTTGGCGTTATCTCCACCCAAAGGACAGAACCTTCACCTTTTATTCTGATGCACATAAAGTATCCTCAAGACTGGATTATTTTTTTATGTTAAAGCATGACCTCTTTAAGGTGATTACTTGTGAGATTGTTCCCTTTCTATTGGCAGATCATTCCTCAGTTGTCATTGAATTAAATTTGAATAGGGCATTAAAAACAAGTGTTTGGAGATTTAATAATTCATTACTCATGGATCAAAGGTTTAAAGAAAAAATGACAGAGGTTATTAAAACATTCCTTGATATAAATGATAACAGTGAAATAAACCCTGTATTATTATGGGAAACAGCTAAAGCAACCCTAAGGGGAGAGATAATAGCATACTCATCTTGGAGGAAAAAATTGAGAGAGAAGAAACAAACGTTAATAGAGAATAAAATACAAAAGTTGCAAGAATTAAAAGTGAGGGATAAAATAATAGAAAAAGAACTGAATGATGCAAAAAAAGAATTAGAGAGTATTAATTCAGAGGACTTGGTAAAAGATTTCACTTTTGCTAAACAATTATTTTATGACAATAGCTCCAAAGCTCAACGAATTTTAGCCTCCAAAATAAAAAAGAACAAAGAAAAAGCGGTAATCAATATAATTATGGATAATGCAACGCCAAGGAGAGGGAGACAAGACATTCTATCTTGTTTTAGGAACTACTATGAAAACCTTTATAATTCAGAAGTAAATAATTTTGACAAGCAGACAATTGCAAGTTATTTAGATGAATTAAGTTTAGCATCCGTGACTGAAACCCAGAATGAAAGCTTAGTAAAAAATATAACCCAAACGGAAATAATAAAAACTATTGAAAAGGGAAAATTGGGGAAATGCCCTGGAGAAGATGGTTATACCTATGAATTCTACAAAGATTACAAATACCTAATTGTACCAGTTCTACATAGAGTGTTTAATGAGGTGTTACAAACGGGAAAATGGCCAGATACTTGGAAAAATGCAATTATAACAGTTATAGCTAAAGAAGGGAAGGACCTAAAACAATGTTCATCGTATAGGCCTATCTCACTTCTGAATGCTGATCAGAAAATATTTACATCTATTATGGCAAACAGGCTCTCGGAAATCTTACCATCTATTATAAACCAGGACCAAACAGGATTTGTCAAAAATAGATTTCTTAGTGACAATGTACGTCGAACCCTTAATGTTATTGATTATGCTAGAAAAACAAAACAACAAATGATAGTGCTTACATTGGACGCGGAAAAAGCATTCGACCGAGTATCTTGGCCTTTTCTGTTTGTAGTTCTGAATAAATTTGGCTTTCACAAGAAATTCATTAATTTAATGATGGGAATGTATAATGATTCTGCAGCCAGAGTGAAAGCCATTGGTTCGCTATCGAAACCCTTTCAGATAAAACGAGGGGTAAAACAGGGCGATCCGCTCTCTCCACAGATTTTTGCCTTGTGCATTGAGCCACTGGCGGAATGCATAAGGACAAGTATGGGTATAAAGGGCATTAAGATACAAGATGAAGAACATAAACTGGCGTTATATGCGGACGATGTCATAACATTCTTAACTGATACATATAAATCACTACCGGTGCTGCTAGAGGAAATTGAAAAATACGGGGCTATTTCAGGCTATAAATTAAATTCAGCTAAAACTGAAGCCATGGAAATAGGATGCAATCTCCAAACAGAATTTAAGAAAAAATTTAAGTTGAAATGGGATCAGAACAAAATAAAATATTTAGGTATTATAATTCCTAGAGAAATTGATAAATTGTACACATGTAATTATAAAGTTTTGGAAAACTCCTTAAGGCAGGATCTTATGCGTTGGAAAATCCTGCCACTTACAATATTTGAAAAAATAGGAATTATAAAAATGAATGTATTGCCACGCTTTCTTTTTCTTTTCCAGAACCTTCCTCTGTATCTAACAAGCTCAAGCTTTAAGGAGTGGGAAAGAATGCTAGGAAAGTTTATATGGGATGAAAAAAAACCAAGGGTAAAACTTAAATTTCTACAACAAAAGAGGGAACAAGGTGGGTTGGGTCTACCAAATTTGAGTCTTTATTATCATGCAGCCCAAATCAAAAGTATTTTAGTTTTGATGAATAATAAAATGAATCCTAAATGGAAATCTATTGAGAACAAATTGGTAGACTCACCCACCTCTTTAATTTTCTCAGGGCAAACTGCAGAAAGAGTCAAACATTTGAATTTTTCTATTTATCAGACATGGAAGAGCTGGAAAAGATTATGCAAAATTATGAAAATAAAATCAACTGATATGGTTTGCCTGAGGGAAATTAGTCAAGACCCAGACTTCACTCCGAATCGTATGGATGAGACTTTCAGGATATGGGAAACTAGGGACTTACAAGATTTCATAAAATGTTCAAAGATCATGCAGTTGATACATTTGAAAATCTATCTAAGGACTATAACCTTTCAAGTAATCATTTTTTTAGATACCTCCAAGTGAGGAGCTATATAACAACAAATATACATTCTTTCCAAGACCAAAGTCCTATCGTGGAGCATATTTTGAAAGTCTATGAAAAGTCGAGTTTTAAAAATATAATGGGACAAATTTATAATATTTTAAATAATAATAAAGATAATCAAATTAATAATATTTTGAATTCTTGGAAGAAAGACATTGGAATAACAGTAACTGAAAAGGAGTGGAGTCAAGCATGTAAAAATGTTTCCAGCTATGTTAAGTCCCCCTATTGGCAGGAATATGCGTGGAAACTATTGGTTAGATTTTTTAGAACACCACTGAAAAT